TTTCTTATAATAATGACAACCAGGGTGTTACTCAAAAAATATATCAATATATATATATATATATATATATATATATATATATATATATATATATATATATATATATGAAAACTGTTTCGTTTGTTTCTCGCCCTTCACAGCATTCCTGTTATTTTCTAACTCTTACTTCCGTTCGGAGGGAATCCGTCGAGGATTGTCATTTACTATCTGCCAAGTAGCAAGTCACGTGCGCACATCCGACGTGAAGGTGATTCGCTAACCCCGTCATATGGGATCTTCGAGTCTAGTTTGCTTGTTTGATTCGGAGAATACTGGCAGTGAGTTTCTCAATAAGATACTGAGTTACAAGTCAAGAATGTGTTTTAACATTGTCCGAAATTGATCCCAAAACCCAGTTTAAATTGTATTTTGTAATTTAGGTAATTGAAAATGTTAAAGAGAAGGTACTTTATTTCATAGCAATTATCACAATTATTTAACAATTATCACAATTTTATTAACGTTTGTACTAAGTTTGTAACCTTGCTTAAGCGGCCACCTATATAACGGACCTATATTGGCCTTTAATTTAAAGACAGAATATTAACATGCTTTATTTCAATACATAAATTACATGTTATACATAATAACAGCAACGTTTCCGATGAAAAAAATAATAATTTTAGAGATAATTCAAACGTTAAAGATAATTCAAAAGCAATTATTTTGAAATAACATTTTATTTTTAGCCTTTGTTAATTTGCATTAATTTTCCAAAAGAGCCAAAAGTTATGGAAAATTAATAGTGTATGAGCTGGCGCAAATCTACGGGAAGTGAGCTGGAAATGTCTCCTACATCTTTCAGCAACTATTCATTTTAACTTGCCACGAAACCTTTAAGCAAAAATGTTTTCGGATGATGATTAACACGAATAAAATCGTATCGCAGCATGGTCTCAGCGTTGTGCGACATTTTATAAAATCTGAACATGACACATTCGTCCAAAAGCAGTTTCAATTTTCCTTCCCAAAATTTGTCTCTGGATCCGCCGCTGGGGGTATGATTTTATTCTATAAGGTAGTGTATTATTTTTTCCAAGTTGAAATTTTGCTGCGCTCGGTGAATAAAATTTCGTTTCGTTGAAAGCACAAGTTTTGAAACAGTGCAGTAGACATAAGATGCCGAAGACTGCCAACTGTCACCATGGAAACGCGCCAAGAAGTGCAGAAGAGTGCAGAGTAGTGGAGTGTATTTTGTCGTGTGCTTGTAATGAATGGGACTGCATTGAAAGTTCATTCTGGGCTTGGTTTCCAAAAATTGCCGAAAACGAATGAGCATAATTAAAATATTCTTATTTGATTTTGTATTTGATATGTTCTTATACTATGACATTATTTTGGTAGAAAATGTCAGAGTGGTAGGCTATATAGTTTTCGTCGGTTTTTTCGTTTTTTAAGGTCGCATCAACTTCTAGGTCATTAGCGACCACTATTGCGTGTATCGGTATGGTAACTGTGAGAATGACACGATATGATGATGATGATGATGATGATGATGATAGGGAGTGAATGGGCGAACACAATACAACCATGCCCGAGGCGGGACTCGAACCCGCGATCCTTCGATCCGAAATCGCTACAGCACTCGTACTGTCTTCGCAATCTAGGCCACTAGATGGACAGTTTTCGTCTTGTGAATTGATGTGAAGAAAATTAATGTTTTGAGGAGTATAGCCTTTCACACTAAAAATGCAGCTGTAAATTCACTACGAATATTTGTTGTTGGTCGAGAGGAGGGGAGAATATTAAATGAAATTGTTGAGGAGACGGGATGGTGACGGTAAAATAGCGAGGATTAGAGATGGTTATGGGGTTTGCTAATAAAGATGCATATGTGGGGGTGGAGGTGGTGGTAGATGTAGGATGGGAATGTTTTGGTATTAGTAGCTGAAGGGCGACTGTGCGGGGACAAAGGTAGTGGGCGGCAGCGAGGGCGAGGGCAAGGGCGGGGGTGGGG